ATGCTTTTGGCTCAGGGCAATGCCTACAGGATGTTAATAGATGCATCACATATATTAAGGTACTGATATGTAGACATATCCTGGAATATTGCTGTGAATGTGGCAAGCAGAATTGTCCTTGGCAGTATTTTCCACTGATATTTTCTGCACTGATTCTAATCTAGTGAGATAATCTAAATGGCTTTGTGTAATAGTTTAAAAGTATTTAAATTGTTAGAATCAAATAAAAATCTTAACCATAATGATAGATCGCTATTTTGAACTATATTAATTAAGTGTAATTTTTCCAGGTTCTTGGAAGTTTTCCTGTTATATTGCCACTCTGCTGGCCAGTGGTTTGCAGTTGAAGAGTGCATGACTGGAGAGTTTAGAAAATATAATAACAATAATGGGGATGAAATAATCCCAACTAACATGCTGGAGGAGGTTATGCTGGCTTTCAGCCACTGGACTTATGAGTATACAAGAGGAGAACTGTTGGTATTAGATCTGCAAGGTAAGGCCCTGACTTTGAAACTTGGACTGGGGCCAAGGTCTATGTGGATTTTTATTTTGATAGCATTTTGTTAAGAATTTGTGTATTTGTAATAAACAACAAGGATTATCTAGTGCTGCTTCTTCTAGTTAGTTAGGATCTATGATTTTCTTATTTAATCATATTATGATAAAGATTGGAAAGGAGCTCTAAGAGCATTGAGTCCAACTTTACCCAGCACTGCCAAATCCAGCACACTCCATGTGCCCAGAAACCACCCCAGACAGCTTTTAGATCCCTGCAGGGATGGTGACTGCACCACTGGGCAGCTGTTCCAGGGCTTGACAGCCTTTTCAGTGAATATGTTTTACCTCATATCCAACCTAAACCTCCCGTAGCATTTTCTTATCCTACTGCTGGGGACTGGCCGCCACCTGGCTACAGTGTCCTTTCAGGTAGTTCTAGACAGTGATGAGGTGTCCCCTGAGCCTCCTCTTCCCCAGGATAAACACCCTCAGCTGCTCCTCACAGCACCTGTGCTCCAGCTTTTTAGCTCTAATATAGTATTACATCTTGCAGCAACACAGAAACTATAAATATATACATTTTCCTAATGAAATGTGCCATAAGAAATGCTATTTTTTGGCACATTTGTGTAGTGCCAATGTGGTAAGCTGGTTTTATCCTGAATTCTGTGCCAAATATTCTGGCAGTGAGAACTGTGTAGGAGATTTTTCTCATGGGTGAAAACTCAAGCTAGGAAATGCAAAAAATAGATGGAAAAAATCTGAGCAGTACAAAGTGCTTGCTTAGGAGCAATTTTCTAAGGGTAGAGAATCATGTGTAGTTTGGGTTGCATTTGTTGTGGGTTTTTTTCTGGTTTTATTCTTGGAAAAGCTGAGAAGTCATAGCTAAGGATTCAAGGCTTTTTAATATTAATATATTTATGTAATCAGAAGTGTATCAGATTTAACTTTTTCTTCATGTGCTGTTTGAAGGTGTTGGTGAAAATTTGACAGATCCCTCTGTGATAAAAGCTGGGGAAAAAAGGTAAGGGTTAAGAAAGACTGAAAGTATTAGATAAAACTTTTTCTGGAAAGAGAACACATGCCAAGTGATGTTTGTGTGCACTTTGTCTCCAAGGTCGTATGATATGGTGTTTGGGCCAGCCAATCTGGGAGAGGATGCAATAAAAAACTTCAGAGCAAAGCACCACTGTAATTCCTGCTGCAGGAAACTGAAACTTCCTGGTAAGAGCTGCAGGACCCTCCTTCTGAGACACTGATGTCATGAGATGTTGTGTGATACGTAATGAAATAGTCAAGGCATGCTGTGAAAGTTTAACAACTCATAAACAGCAATTACGTAATTTGACTTTAGGCTTCTGATTGCACCTATGATTAAAAAATCCCTTTTTTGATAGTGCATATCCTGAAATTCCTCTTCAAAAGTGCATTTGCATATCCAATTATTTGCTAGACATTTATGCCCCATTGATTCTACTAGCTCAAGAAATAGTAATCATTATGACTTTGTTCTGTTTGTACAGATCTGAAGAGGAATGACTACACACCTGACAAGATCATATTTCCTCAGGACGATGCCCCTGAACTGACAATTCAGCCTGGAAGCTGCACCAAAGATTCTGATCCGGCCAATTCCATCCGTCTGATGCTCTGATGATGTGACCAACTCAGTGGCTTCGCTCAAACTTCCTGGAACCTCACCAAGTTGTCACTTACCTTTCCTCACTATAATGAAAAGAAAGACTTGTCAAAACAAGGATTACTGTCTCATAAGTGGAATTTTGGCTGGTCCATAATCTAAGGATTTTACCTTGTGATAACCATCTACAGAGCAGCGTGGCAGCTGATTCTTCTAAAGGTGGAATAATGACAAGTATTTAAGATGTGTTTTTAAAGGGGCTTTTTAAGCAGAAAGTTTTATTTTTTATTTTATTTTGATTTAGTGGAGGATTTTCTTCCTGTAGTCCTGTGGTGGGAAATATGCCTTCCACCAAAAGGATTTTGGTAGTTGATGTTTTAAGGTAAAGCATTTGTCTTTTTGGCATTTGTCTTACTGGCAATGAGCAAAACCAGGAGAAAGCACCTACCTCTGTAAAGCCAGAGTATTCTTAGAGTGTTTTCGGAAGTGTTCCACTAATATTTTCTCACCAGGTGTCTTTTAATCTGACCTTTTGAAGAGGACAGAGCCAAATGAGGTGTATATAGGATGCCAATAGACTGAAGTTGAAGGTAGGAACTTGATCTGTTCCAAAAGAGAGAGAGAGTCTCCTGAATCAGGATTCTTTCAGCTTCATGACTGTACAACTGGGCTTGGTTGCTTTTGTTTTGTGAAATAGAGCCTGAATTGTGCATAATGAAATTTCTTGTTTTACACATTTCAATTTTATCAAGTCACTGTCAAATAGTAACAAAGCCATGATAGACTGGTATAATCATATTTAATAGAAGAATTAGTTTGTGCTGGTCCAAATAAGTTGCCTTGTAAGAACACAAGTTGGAAGTGCTTTCCCTTGTACGTACGTAGTGACTGCTTCAGAAGTTCTGCCTTCCAAAGATCTCCTACAACCAGTGTATCGAAGCCGAATGTACACATAACTTGTAAATGTATTTAAAATTGTGTAGAAAACATCTTTAATGTTATGTTATTTGTGGTACTTACTTAAGAGAGACTAGGGTTGGATTAGCATTGTGTAAAGTACGGGAGATTGCAATGCACCTTCATGCCAATAAAATGTAATTTAACTGTCCCAAATATTGTTGAGCATTCAGCAAGAAAAGAACCTGTTGTCCAACTGAAGTTTCATGCTGCGATTTTTTTTTTTTTTTGTTACATAGGTACTAATTTGTAATTTTTAATTAAAAGGGCAGTATATAGCTCTATAAATTTTTTATTCAGTAGTGTATCTTATAGATACAGACCTAAGGCACGAACACAATAGTTGTTTAAATGGTGTTTTATGTTTGATGGGGAAAGGTAAAATGTTATAAGGATATAATACTGTATACATTTTGTATATCATTAAATCTTTAAAGAATCTAAAATAAATTTATTCTTGTTTACAGACTTCTGCTCTCCGTCTCAGTCTGAAGGGTTATTTTGGTGAATTTAACTCTTTATGCAGAAAAGTAGAATTTGCCACGCTGGATCAAAGTAGCTGTTAGCCTTTGAGGTATCACAGCTTGGGCCAACACCAGAAACTAGGGAGGTAAAAAAGTGAAAACTGTCATAGCTGCCAAACACATGTGAGGGGATTCATGAGTAAATGAGTCAAAAATAGCTCTTCACAATGTTTAATTCTTCTGACTGCATCACCTCCTGTTGCTGGGAGGGAATGGGCAGATATTCCAAATGTACTTGCACCTTTCTAAAGTAACAGCAGCACTGAGTCTGTAAGCGTGACTGGCTCTGCAAATTGAGAGAGATTTCCAGAGGAGTCTCTGGTGTTTTGAAAATGTGACCGAATTTCAGTGTAGGAAAGAAGAAAAACATTTTGAGAAAATTGCAAGTAAAAGCTGGGAAACTTTGTTTCTTGACAAACACTTAACTACGCACAGTTATTTTGTAGCTGTGTTACTGCTCTTCTGTAGTTCTGCTGGTGACTCATTTCTTAGCAAAATAAACAGATGTGACCACCTTGTGATGGGTGTGAGTGATCGTGGGGAGTGCTCCTTCTGCTCAGTTTTGCAGTGACTCAGGCCTGGAGCTTTTTCAAGACCAAAAGGGACAAATGTGGTTGGGAAATGCCTGTAAGATTTGGAGTGGTTACCACTGTTCACATTTCTGTACATCTGCCTGGCATGAGCTGTGTGACTTACAGCTTGCATTACATGAGAAGTGTTTGTCTAAACTGACTGAGAGGGGAGAAATGTGTAACTTCCAGAAGTGATCTGCCTCATACTTGCTGGGAAAAAAATCATAAATGGCAAATACCCTTTAGGGAAGGAATTGGAAAAGTGTGGTGGCAAAGGGCAAAAACAAGTTGGTTTGAAAACGAAGCCTGACTCTGTTTGGACAGTGCCACATCCTGCTGATGTTGGGCAGTAGGAATATGAAAACTATTCCATGGAATTCAATTTGTCTGAGAACATCAAGTGTGGCTCCTCTGCTGAAACCTCATCAGTCTAGAAATGCTCTATAAATAGGGAAGTGTTGTGATCCTTTAGCTGATAAGTTTTCTTTACCAAAAAGGAGGAAAGTGATGGAACTGGAACTTCTGATAACTATTCAAGAAAAAAAGTATTAGCATATCTTCTTAGAACCTAGCTTTTAAATAGAGGGATATAATTCAAACCCTCTCTGATTATTTTTTAGTCAAAATCTGAAATGCTTTAGTGAATTTCCAACTAGGAGGGTATTTAAAAGGGTATTTATCCTATAGAGAAATTAATAAGCTACATAATTTAGACTTTGGTGGATTAATTAAAAGTCATTTGTTGACTGCTTTCTTGCAGTATTTAGGTGGTGAAACATTTCAGAGAAAACCAATCCTAAATTCACTGTGGTAAAATATATACAACCAGCTCCTGGGGAACTGGTTTTTTAGCTGCTGCTCAGCAGCCTTGTGGTTTGGAAAAGGAGGGGTTTGGTTTTTATGCTTGACAGTGATTTCCTACATGTTAAATCTTTGTGGTTGCATCTCACTTAATGCCATAACTCTTAACACTGCAGGAATTTTGAGAGGGAAAAAGACTACAGCTGGAGACTTGGTAATAACAGTTCATATTAAATGTTCCTAAAAGACCAGCTGGGAAAAAACAGCACTTCTTAATATGTAACAAGGCTTCTGAAAAAAGTTCTGATGGTTTAATATTTCTTTTCTCGATTAACACTTTTCCTTGCAATAATCCATTTTGTGGTGAGAGAAATGGGAAGTTAATTCTCAGCCGCAGAGCTTGCAGTTGGTAGCATCCATGTGGATTTGTGTATCATGTTACATTAAAATAGTAAGTCAAAGTCTTGATTCAGATTACACAAAATGTGGGAATAAACATATCCAGTTCCATTTACAAAACTGAACCAGATTTTTGAGGGGTCAATAGCAGTGACAGCTGTCCCAGGAGTGCTGGAGACATCCTTTGAAGTTTTACAAGATGATTAGGAGGTGTTTTGCATCACTTCATGGGCCTCTTCTGTGGGTATTTGTTACATTCCAGGTTGTCTGTTAAATAGGGAAAAACTGCTGCTCTCAGTGGCATGTGGAATTTAGAGATGAACTGCATTTACATAGCTAATTAAAAGCCATCTGCCATACCTTTTTTCTTCCCTCAGGAAAATCCTCATAACACCAAGAAGCTAATTCATTATGATGTTTTGAGGTAGTTCCATCCCTTTATGATCAACACTCTCGGTCATCACTGCCCTTCCAGCAGAGCATGGCAATAATAAATCCTAATCCAAGTGAGCAAACATGGATAAAGGTGTTGGGCCAAAGTTCCCTGCTCAGTGGAATGGAGCTCTCTTCCCAAAGTTTTCTGTTCTGGCTGGCACAGGGAAGGAGATAGAGGCAGGGCTGGCCAGGTGTGTTCCCTGGCCAGTGTTACCAGGTGACATCACAAGGGGCTGGGGCAGGAGATGCTGGGGTGACAGGATGGAACACGGGACTGAACACAGGGCACTGCTCGTGTTTTTTCTACGGAGATTGCTGCGGGTTTAGAGTTCTCTGCCCTGCCTCAGAATACAACATCAGCCTCTAAACAAGAACAGCAACATTGGTGAGCAGGTGTGGGTGGTGTAGAGTCTGTGTTCAGCATCTCAACTCTCTGATTGGGGATGGGGACACTTTGGCCCAGGACAGACTTATGCAGCCAGAAAACAAAAGTACTAAAATTTTCCTAGCATGAATTAAGTAACATTTTATAGCAAAAATCTGAAGAACAACCTGCTTCTAGTAGCATCTGGACTGCAACCTATGGTTTTAGAAAACAGGTGAGTACTGTACCCAAGGAAATGAAATATAATGTAATATGTACTATTAAGCATTTTGCTCTAAAAATGGCTATTCACAAGTGGTGGTAGTTTTTGAGTAATTGTGTATGGAGTAAAAGAGTGAATAGAATTTTAGGAATAAGTCTTAAAACCTCAGATGTTTAAGTAACACCTCATAATGGCTTAGTGGGGAAGATGAAGAGTCTTTGCCACTATAAACCTGGTGAAAATAAATGTGAATGTAATTTTTAAAGAAGAAACCGTAGCATTTTAGATTCCCACTGGTGTGGATTTTTCTCACAGTAGGTGGAAGGATGGCATGGAAATGGAAGTACTCCCCCAAGGAACAGCTGGAGGACATGAGCAGCCTGCACCCAGGGCTCACAGGGCTGCAGAACCTGGAGAACACGTGCTACATGAACGCGGTGCTGCAGTGCCTCTGCAGCCTCTCCCCGCTCGTGCAGTATTTCCTCTCAGGGAAGTGGAACCCAGCCCTGCACCAGTGAGTCCGTTTGTTCTCCGTACTGAGGGCTCTCTGCTTGGCACTATTTTCCTGCCAAAGGATATGTGCTGTCATGAGAATGTCCAAGGCACCTGCCAGCTTCCCCCAGGTAGTTCCAGTCAATTGGCCACCAGCTGGTTTCCTTCTGCTTTGAGAGCCCAGCCCTTTTCCTTGCTGGTCCTTCAGCATGATACTTTTCTTCCCATATTGATGGTATTACCTGTTACTATTGTCTTGATCATGATTCCTACCACTTTCTGGGATCTGCAGAGTCCCTCAAGCCAAGTGACAGCTGCCAGAGCTGTACTGTACCAGCATCTGTTTTCTCAGTTTCTGTACTGTGCTCCCATTTGAAGGCAGACACTCTCTTTTCATCCATCACCTGAAACTCTCCCCTTTTTTCCAAGGGAGATCGGAGAGTCTGCGACTGCCTTTGGCTGTCTGGTGTCTGACATGTGGCTTGGAGAGTTTGACTTTGTTTCCCCTGAGGCTTTTCACTCTGTCTTTGGGAAGCGGCACCCAGCTTTTAGCAGCAAGACTCAGCATGATGCTCAGGAGTTCCTCATCTGTGTGCTGGATGACCTCCATGAGGCTTTCAAGCAGGTGAGAGCCCAGCTGTGGTGTTTTGGGAACTACAGCTGTTTCCTCTGCGTTTCATGACTTGGCATTCCATGTAATAATTGCCTATCATCCTCTTCTGAACTCTATGATGGGGCCACTAATAACTTTCCTTTTCTATCTTTGTTTCTGACCCATGGACACACAATTATTAATTTGCTTCTTGTCTAATGCTCCATCAAATTGCAGCCCCATCTAAATGACAATGCTGGTATAGCTTCACTGTCCTACCTCTGCCTCTCCTTTCTCCTTCCACAGTTAATGTTCTTCCACTTTCTCATCTGCCTGAAAACTTCACGTCTGCCATGCCCCCATGTCTTTCTCCCCTCCAGAGCCACTGATAAAGAGCTTTTCAAGCAATTAATGCTATCAAATGTCTGAATTGTTGTATTTTTGTTAATTTTCTCTCAGAAAATGAATCAATCTTAGTCTACATGTATGAACCATCAAGTAACAGCATTTTAGAGCCATGTTCTGTGGCAAGACTAACAACTGATCAACCCAGGGAGTGGGCAGCACCTATTAAAACCCAGTGAAGGCACTTAACAAAACAATTGCTTATCTACATTTTGTCAATCTTTTTCCTTCTGTATAGCCAAGCCAAGAAAGATGGAGCTCTGCTGCAGGAGCAAGCACAAGGAATAGCAGTGGCACATCTATTATAACACACTTATTTGAGGGACAGCTCAGTTATGCCATCAGGTGTCTGACATGCAAAGCCCTCAGTGACAAACCCGAGAGCTTCACCGTCCTCTCCCTGCCCATCCCTTCCACCAGAGTGTGCTCTCTGCAGGTACAACAGCCAGCACCTTCCTGCTGCTTTCTGCTTCAGCTGGGACTAGAGGCTTAGACTAATAAGTTTTATTGGAAAAATGCAGGGCTTGCTTTAGTTACTTTGGTCTCCTGAGCACTAATGGATAGTCTTGGATCTGGTCCCTAGAGAAGTGGGGTGTCTTTACTGGTCTCAGAACCATGGAGGCTGGTAAGGTTACAAGAGCAATGCTCAAGAGTTGCCAGGGGATGAAGGATATTAAGATTATTCAATAGCAGCCGTGAAGGTTTTATTCCAATCATCCAGATATTTCTGCCTTGGTGGGGAGAATGGAAGCCAATCCTGGCTGCTTTGTCTTGTGAATCTTGTCAGCCTTGCTGCATCACACTTCAGTTAGGGGGAGCAAATTCATCTCTTATATTGCTTAGCACCTCCATGGGTGGAGGGAGATCTGTTCAATCGAGTGATGATTGGATTTTTTTCCTTTGACAGGACTGCCTGGAATGCTTTTTTCAGCCAGACACACTGACTCGGAACAACCAAATCTACTGCCACTGGTGTGGAAGCAACCAAGATGCAACAGTAACAGCCTCCATAACCAAGGCACCACAGATCATCATTTTTCATCTAAAGAGGTATAGTCTAAGTGAGGTAGGACATGGCCAGCTCCTGGGCAATGTGAGTCATGAAGGTGTTTGCCTGAATGGAAGCAAATCACTGCAAATAAGTGGGTTTAGTACTTTAGATACCTGAAAGCTGAAAGGGCCTTTACAGAAATACAGCTGTCAAACATGCAAGTTGCATTCCTGAATTTCATGTACGGTGCTCCACCTGTGTCCTGCAGCCCACCAAATTTCTCCCTATACTTGGGATCCCCTCTCCAGAGGAAAGAGAACTGCACCAGGCAGTGACTGACTACAGCCCAGTGCAGTGGCTCATCCAGTCCCTGAATGATCCCTGTGAATCAATTCCTGTGGCAGCTCAGAGCCTGTGCCTTGGCTTCCAAAAGCAGGACTGACTGGTTTGCTTGCTGCTGCTGCAGTTGAGACACTCTGGTTTTGTTTATCCCTTTTCTAAATCAGTCCTAAACACAGTGATGCCTCAGCAAAGGAGCACCTGGGTTAGCAGATTTCACTAGCCACACATAGCCAGATGCTGAATTTATTCTAAAGAATTTTTTTTCTTAACAACTTTCCACCTATAAAGAAAACTACTCTGGGATGATTTGACTTCCCAGAACTATGTATCTGACTTCCCAGAACTATGTATCTGAAGTTCTTATTTAATTTTCCATTCAGCATCTGCTTTTCTCAACATTCTCAAAGGACATGTGGTCCCCAGCTGCAGCTGTTGGCCACACTGTGAATGTTTAAAAATGCAGTAAGGTACTCAACGTTACAGAGGGAAGAGGGATGAAGTCTGGCATGAGAGAAGAGCTGACACTGGCACTGCAGTCCAGTCCAAAATGTTTAGGACACAGAGAGAGTGATGCACAGATATGACTTCAGTCTTTGACTGAAGGATCAGGAAGCAAGAGCTTTGCTTTTCTTGCTGGACATGTCATGAGGGTTTGGTGCATTTTTTGTGAGTTTACGCAATACACAACATTACCAGAGATCTTTCTTTCAAATGCTGGGCAGTCAGTTGTTGGTTTTCCCTCCTCCCAGGAAAGTCAGTTAAGCAATGACCACAACACAATCAGAAGCTGAGGGTCATTTAAAATCGTCCAAAAATTCATTTCAGGTTTGCCTGGCAGGACAAGAACAGAAGGAAACTCTCAACCACTGTCTGCTATCCGTTCAGTGATCTGGATCTCTCTCCCTACATCTCCACATCGTGTAACAACAATACAGAGTACAGCTTGTGTGCTGTAGTGGTAAGCTTTGCCCTTCCTGCTTTTATTGGGAATGCCCTGGCTCATGGAGCAGATGAAGCCTGTGTTGGTTTGGACTGAATGTATAATGAATTATAATTTAATGTATGTTTTGTTGTACGCTTTTTTCTACCAGCCGTGGACATAATTCAGTAACAGTACGTAACTGAAGGACAGAGACATTATTTCTCCTTCTTCCCCAACATCCCAGTTTTAAAAGAATGCTCTCCTGGCACATAATGCCTCTTCAGAGTAAACTTGCAGGCTGATCCAGCATGAATCCTCGTTTTAAATAAGGCCATAGCTCACAACAATGGGGTCCTCTTATAGTGTCCTGTATTAGGGCTAATAGTTGGATTGCAAATATAACTGCAAAATAAATAAGCATGATCATCATCCATTAACTCTGGTTGAAAGAATTTATTTGAATTAACATTCCCTGCCCTAAGCCAAAAGGGGCTAGAACCCTCAGTGCCATCTTTTCCAAGTGCATACACGAAACCATTGCCAGTTCCTAGCTTTGCCTGTAAGGAGACAGAACAGGAGTCTGGTTTTAACAGACTGTGTTGTTTGTTACAGAACCATGCTGGAGATCTGGATTATGGCCACTACACGGCCTTCTGCAAGCACTCAATCACCCAGCACTGGTACAGCTTTGATGATGCCCAGGTCACCAAGATCCCAGACTCTGCAGTGCAGGCTGACACAGCTTACCTCCTCTTCTACATCTCCCAAGGCTACTGACACCCTGTTAGTCTTGAAAAGGAACACTAGGTAGGGCAGCACCTAGAATTCACCAGCAGCATTAGCCAACTCCTGTTTCATCAATAAACTAGAGCATGTGCACCACTGATCAGCTGTTGTGGTCTTTCAGGAAGTGACTCCTAGAAAGGACAGTTACAGCCCTAAGCCATGACGGAATGTGCATCTGCTCCATGTGCACAAGGGCCAGGGCTGTTTTCCATGACACCCTTCTTGCACCCCTCAAAACAACATGGATGTTGAGCACACAGATGCACTTACCTGGAAATTCTTCTTTTTCTGCTGGTTAAGTATAGTAGGTTGTTCTAAGCTGCCTTTCAGGAACTAACAGAAGGATACCAAAGTGAAAGCACACAACCAGACCAGACTGTGCTACAGAAGAGAGGATGGAGTGACCATTAATACAGAAGAAAGAAAAAGGCATTGCTCTACTGATGTAATTTTTGTTTCTCCAGCACTTCAAACTTGTTTGCAAGTTGCAAGCTTCTGGAAAACAATCAATATTGGCCTTAATTCCACCAGCAAGACAGACACAGACAGACAGGTAAAAGCTCAGAATGTAAGACTTTTGAATGCCAACCTTATCAGAAAAGGAAAACTAACCCTAATCCATAGCAGAGAAATATGTAAGATGCAACTAAAAGAAGTTTTTAAACTAATCAGCTCTATGCAAAACAGTATTTTTATCTGGAGAACCTTTAAACTGTGTGAGTGTGAGTCAGATTGTTATTATGTACAATCTTGATCATTACATAACAGCTGAGAATGAAAAACCAAACCCAAACATACATTTAACAGGATATATTTTTAAATAATTTCTTCATTAAGGTTTTTAATGCATGTGTACATGAAAATTTATATTAAAAAATTAAAAAGGAAAATCTTGTTTAGAATAACTCTGAAGTGCACAAATATTGACAAAAGCTAACAGAAAAAATAATACAGCTCTGCTTTTTTATTAAGTAGTGTTGCAATTACTTAGAGCTGGCAAATAAATGCAATCCTCTGAGTTTTAGAGATTCTCACAAAAAGGACAACATTTTATTATATACATAATTCTGATGTGCAAGTATGCAATCAATATGTACACTTACATTCCTAACTGTTTACATCGTTCTAGAGTATTCACAGTAGAGTCAAGCTTAAGGTTAGAAATGTGAAAAGGCCATTAACAGTGAAAGAAAAAAATAAACCAAGATATGCCTTGGGATTTTAAGACATTTTAAACTACTTGTTAATAGATTTCAGATGACTAAGCTAGAATTTAATTTTGGAGCAGACTAAAAATATAGTTCTTTTTTAAATAAACAGTAATGCAAGTATGCTTGTAAATGGTTCCACAGATGGCAGTATGACCACAAGCATTGCCCATCAGTCTGATTGTGAAGCACTGCCACGGCCCCAGCGAGCCCTGCTGGCAGACACCCTGCTCCTCCCACTCCAGTGACTGTGTCTGCTGCACTTCTGCATTTTCGTGTGCATTCCCAGGCCTACTTTGCTCTTGAAGAAAGAAAACCAGTTTCCTTAAGCCACATCCCTTTACGTGGCCATGTCTACTGCTCGCTGTTCATAGGATGTATAAAAGAGAATGTAAGCAGCTGAGGACTTCACCGAGGACGCCGAGATCTCGGACACTTCGTGGTCATCAAACTTAAACCAGCGCTGCTTTGAAGCGTTTTTGCAGTAGGCTGTGTAGTGCCCCCCGTCCAGCCCACCGTAATGATTCTGTGAATGTAAGGCAAGGGTTAGTGGCCTTCAAAGCTGCCATTTCTTCCCTTCTTAGGGAAATCATCTAGAATGTGAAATTTTTACTAAATTGTTCTTTTTCAGAACGCAACTTAATCTGTAACTACAATGCAGCCTGGCTGAATCACAACAGGCCACCCTGAGTCCTGGCATAAAGTGCAGCTGGAGTTTGAAACGTGACTGGTTACTCACCGATACTGAGAACAGATTGTATCTCTTCAAGGAAGTCTTTGGACCAATAACATACTGAGAGAGGTCAAGAGTTTCCAGTGGAAAATCTACTGAAGTTTGAAGCTTTTGTTTCCATCTTCCATCATAGGAAAATCTAGAGAATTAAAAAGCACCATGAAAAGCTACAGGCTGTTCACAAGCTATTCCACTGTATTAAGCATGTTTGTTTTCCCTGTTTTTAACCAGGATGTGATCTCAACTAAAGCCCCCAGTTCTGTTAACATTTGCTCATGTGTCTCTTAGCAAAAATAACAAGAGATCACTTGTGAAAGTGCCTTGGGAGTTACAGCCTTATAAAAGAAGCATCAGATGAAAATCAAATTCTTGCAACATTACAACTGGTAATGTATCTGTGACCTTCTCTAAGGTAAAACGCTCAGCCACTACCATGGAACAATCCAGTTCCATCAAAGCCTGGTCATTTAATCCCTAATATCCACCAATCGCCATTTCCTTACCGTTTCAAGTGCACAAGAAGAACAGGTGGTAATTTCCAAATTTCTATTTTTTTCAAAGAATCCCTTCGAGTTTTGCAATGGCTACAGTAAAATCTATTGTTATCAGTGAGCTTTTCTTCTTTGGAGAACAATCTAAGGCATTCCTAAAACAAAATACAGAGATTGTGAATGGTAGGTGTTTTTGCAAGTATAACAAAAATGCTTCTTTCCCATTTGGTTGTTAACCTGCATTGGTTATCTACATCCTACATTTCACTGAGGAAAAGTGACTTAAATCTACGTGTAGAAGCAAGTTTTACTGCAGATATTAATTAGTGTCCTTCAAAATGTACAGACAATATTTTGTTTAAAACCACAGAATACTTACATTGTAACCTACCAAAGCAAGTAATATACATGCTGCTGTTGCAGCTTCAGTATTTCCATCCTGCTTCTAACTTAAAAATTTTAAGGGAAGACCTATTTCTTTAAACTTTAGAAGAATTGAAAAAAAACCGCAGATTCGGTTCTGTTCACGTTTCAGGTCAAAGCAAATTAAGCAGAATGCTGACCAACCCCTTCAAGCAGAGGGTGAGCAGCAGCAGCATCACAATCAGGTGCCAGTTGGCACTGCAGGAGCAGTTTCTCTGTTTCTCTCCAGTTGCCCTTACCTGCAGAGTGCATTTGCTGGAGGATGCAAGTGGCAATGACAGATACATGAAAGCCTCGAAGGTTCGGGACCTCTTGTGACACGTCAGACACTGCACGGTGGATTTGAACTGCCCTTGGAACAGTGCCACAATGATGGACTCGTTGAGCTGCTTGTGTTTGTGCCAGGCTATTTCTGCTGCACTTGAGTCATCCAGGTGATCGTTATTTTCTTCCTTGTATCTTTTCCTGTTGTCAGCCTGGATAGCAGAAGTTTAAATACGACAGCAATTTATTAACATGTATGTAAGTCAGAAATCTCACACAGGCAAGCATATGATTGATTATTCACAAGAATATTTAAACATGTCAGTGTTGCCATCCAGTTCTTGTCTAGCGAGGCTTCTTCTGTGACTCCCTCCACCACCTTATACCTACTACTTCAGAATTCCTACTTTAATTCTGAATAATCACATTTCTTTCTATACAAGGTTGCAGTACCATAATCTTATGGAATAGGAAAGTATTTTAAAAATTTGTCTTGATTTTCTGACAGATATATAATTTGTTTTAAGTGTATTGCTTACTTTATTTAGGTCCTCATGCAAGCCATCCATTAGAAAGAGAAGCAATTCTTGGGAGTCCTGTTGGCTATATCCCGCAAATTGGTCATTAATTTTCCCAATTGTAATTTTGAAGTCTTTTGGACTGATATATTTATACTGTCCTGCCCATAAAGCTTTCATTATTACACCAAACTCTTCAGCCACTTCACCTTTATGCCCCAGGAAATTTGACCTATAAAATAAGAAACAAAAAAAATTCTGAGCCATTCAAATAACTGGGTTTTAATATGAATGTTTTTAATTCAAAACATGATCCCAATTTTAAAATATTTCTTTAGACTACGGAAAACTGGCTATTAGACTGAGTTAAATTTTCATCTGTGTCAGCCCTGTAATTTGGTACCATATTCCAGATGGAAGGTACAGTATGTTTTGTGAACTATTTAAATATTCAGTTTGGTTTTAAGATACTCTAGCACACATGTATTTTATGAATGTGGTGACCATAATTTAATTATCACAGTCCAGTAAAACCTATTTAATGACACACATGAATTTTGAAAATGCCGTCAAGGTACCTAAAGTTACCATTTGCCTCCTACTTAAAAAAATAGCCCCATTAAGTCATCTTATCTTCTTGAATTGGCAAGTATAAAGGCAGGTGAGAGATTGTTACCTGTTAATATCAGCTTGATACAAGTTTCTGTTGAAATACTCAGCCAGGTGAGGAGCATTGCACAGACACTGCAATATGGAATTCATGTAGCAAGTGTTCCCTAGATTACGAAGTCCTGTCAGAGCTGGTCCCGATCCCCCAAACACGGGATTGAGATTGCGAATCTGCGATGCAGAGAGCCTGGAAATTTCTGCTTTAGTGTAACATGCAGGTCTATAAGCAAAAAATTATTTTTTAGGAGTTTCAGACTTGATAAAGTTGTTCACATAAACCAACAGACAGCACACCTCACCCCACCACCCACAGGGATTGGACCATCCTGGCACCAAACACCACCATTTAGGATACTCAAAACCAGCCAATGCAACAGTGAGAAATCCATATACACTGCCCTATAATGAGGCTGAGTTTTAGGCACCATCAGCTGTGAGACTGATATATTTTCTTCCTTTATTTCTTTAATTCACAGATGAAGAATTAGCTGTTTAATACAGTCTAAAATGTGAAAACTTGCATTTCACAAACTGTCGGAAGACAGACTTTTAGTATGATAACACAAATAACAGAACTTAAAAAGCAACTGTCATCCAATTAATAGACTGTAACCTCTGAAATTCCTGCTAATACATAACTATGATGAGAGAACTGCTCTATACATTGAACTTCTAGCAGTGAAATTTCAGTCTATTACTCATGCATCCTTCAAACCCACTTAGAAAACAGTAAGGAATTTCAGCTGGTTAAACACAAAGAAAGTCCTTTGTGCTGTCATACTGCCTGAGCTGTGATCTAAGTTATCAAGCAAACATACTTATTGTCACGATTGACTGCAGGAGTGACAGGAATTCTTTTCTTGTCTTCCTCCTGGATGGCCTGGGTGATATCTGGGGACGAGTAGGAGCGCTTGAGCTTGGAGTGTTCCCTCTCGCGCTCAGCTGCCGCCTTGGCCTTGGCTTTGCGCGTGGGAGGGGTGGATGGAGGAGTGGCTGCAGGAGCCATTTCTGGTGGGTACATCTGAACAGTGTTGGTTGGTGAGTGATAGTAACGATAGGTTCCAGTGATGTCATCCAGGAACTTGGGGGAAAAAAACAAATAGTTTCAAACTCAAGTGAAAATCCATCATTAACTTACCTATTAACAACAGCACGAGGTTTTCAGACACTGGAATATTAAGTTGTGACTGGCCTCAACATTCAATGGATTAAATTTAGTAGAAGGGGAATTTTCACCAAAATGCCTATTAAACAGCAAAAACCAGGAACAGCAGATGAACTGTCCTAGTTTCATTACAAATAATATTAAAATTCAGAAAGTAAATGTGTGAAAGTTAAAGGGGAGTAAAAAAAAAATGAAACAAGATCTAACTTAGAAGTAAGACACAACTGAAATACAGGACAAAATGACACAGAACAGTTTAATTTTCATTTCAGAAGAGGAGTTACCTTTACCCAACCTGCAGGCAGCCCTGGGACTATCCTTCCCATTTCCTCACTTCGTGCTCTCATTAATGGCTCCCGCTGGGACTAATAAACAAAGAGAAAAGTAAGGTACGTACAGTTCCCTATGCACAGCAACGAGCTGCCTGTGACTTCTCTATGGAGTTACATGATTCAGTGCAAACAGTACAATAAATCCTTGATTACAGATAGAAATAAAATGTATTGTAATGGTAATTTAGTATTTTCTATGGCTCAATCTAAACAAAAAACACAGGAACCTAAACAAAACATTTTCTGACACATTCCAAAAAAGCAAGAAACAAACCAACCATTTAGTCTCATGAAAGTCATAAAACTCAATTTTTTCCCTGAAGAATCAGGAAACAGTAGGAGTATAAGCTTCTGTTAAATTCATAAGGCTGAGCTTTTTTCTCTCTTAAAGCAGCACTTGAAGGTGTGTGCATGAGATGATGAATGCATGGAGAATGTTTGTTAGTGCCACCAGAAACACATCAAGACTTCTAATGGAAGTTTCAAGTATTTTTCATTTGAATTTGACAAGTGAAAAAAGCAAATGAACACTGTGAACGTGGCATAGTCTTAAGATGGTGACTTTAAAAACTGAAATGAAATGGAGTTTAACATAATCTGTGCTTAATTATTTTGACTACATACAATACATTTGTATTTACTTTAAGTCTTTCAGTATCTTGTTCAGAATCCTCTCTAAGGGGTCCTGGCTTTTGAGCTTCACTGTCTGGTTGTCCTTTAACCCCCATTTGCTGCAAAAGATTTTGAAAGAAGGCTTCAATTTTCATCTGGCATGTCAGTAAAGAATGCTGATAAAGCAGAGTTACACTTTCTTTTTCGGTTGTTAAATGCATGTACCACAACACAGTGGTTAAATCAGGTTATTTTTATTCCTTCTGCATACTCTAGACAATTTACTGGAATAGTTTTTGAAACTGAATGTTGTATCACAGTTTGTTCTGTAGTTTCAACAGCTCAGAAATAAAATGCAGATATTCCACCTATGCTACTTTCCACCCTAAAAGTTGTGGGGTTTATAATTTGTTGTTAAACTTCAGGCTTTTTTCCCTTTTGCTCCTCACTTATCAAACCTCTCCATGGAAAAGGCAAACTGTGAAGCCAACAAGAATTTGGTTGATCACAGGCCATCATTTTGGGATTATGTGACGTTTCTCTGTCAGTCAAAAGCTCATGAATGACTGTGCTAAATTTGCACAGGAAGATTTATTTTTGCTTTTTTGTGCATCTGGATTAAACAAACATCAGAATATGATAAAATCACAACTGCAATCACAAAAGCAGAGAAAAATATCCTAATTCAACTTCTTGAGAAGTGGTTGTAAAGACATCTGTTCCATTGTTAATTTGCAAGTGGCTCTAGTTCTATGATCAGTTGATTTGTACATTGAGAAATTTTGCAGTTTTTTTCAAGAATGAGGAAAGAAAGAACTGTGACACTCCTCCCTTCCCCCCAAGGTTTGGTACCGGACTGTTTCCAGCAAAAATCCTAGATGAGGATGTTGCTTTGCTTCCTGTGCCAGGTAACAAAATCCTGTTCTGTCAGTGTTTCTACAGCTGGGGGCACTAAAGGGTTCCTTATGACACCACTGTGTCCTTAACACCACATACAGCACCAAGCTGGCACAAGAGATTAAATACCACCAGGCTTCTATTTTGGAAACAGAGGGTTGCAGTCTATGAACCATCATCCCTTCTAGCTCCACGTGAGTGGGAAGTTTTGTTATCCCGTGGGGATTACATGCTGCCCTCCTACAAGAAAGAAACAAGCTTGTCTTGGGGGAAAAAAATCTCTTTGTGTCTTGGTTTTAACTCTCTCCTCTACTTTAAAGTAAAATGTGGTCTAAACACACATCCAATTACATATTTCAAATTGCTAGATTAAACTGGACTATTCAGAATGATTTAAGTGCATAACTACTTCAACATGTGATGATGATTTTCTTTTCACTGACCTTGCCTGGAACAGTCACAAAGGTCTGAGATGCATCACCCAGTGCCCGTTTCTGTGTTTCTGGTGTTCGAGTTCCCTTTTCTCTTTCTTCCATGGATATTTTGTCAATCTCAATCCTTTTTGCACCAATGTTTTCTGGTTCATTTTTATTTTGCTTTTTTGCTTCTACTGCTTCTCTGTGTGCTCTTTCTTGTTCCTTTTCCTCCTGCTCTCTTTTTATTTGTTCATCCCTCTCCTTCTGCTCTCTGTCCTCTTTAGATTGCTGTAGCTTTTCTTTGTGTTCCTTCTCCTTCTGTTCCTCTTTTGCCTTTTGTTCTTGTTCTTTTTCTTTTCGTTCTTGTTCTTCTTTTTCTCTCCTGAGCCTCTCTCTCTGTTCCTGCTGCTGCCTCTCCCGCAGTTCCTTTTCCCGTCTGTTTTTCTCTAACAGAGCAGCAGTTTCTGCATGGACCCGACTTTTTTCTTCTTCTGTCAGAGTGCTCCTTCCATCATGCACAGGCTTTGTGGAGCGGTCTGGAACTATTCTTCCACTCTCACCAGACTGGCTGTCACTGATTGTACTTGCAGGTTTTGCTCTGTTATCACCGAGGATTTTTAGTGAAGGCTTTTTAGAACGATCCACCTGTAACACAGGTGCAGAACACAGAGTGCAGAACAATTCACTACAGCTGCTACTACTCTCTTTGCTAAGCTCTTCCTAAGTGAGATTTGTAAGAGAATAAAGATTATATCAAGTTGACTTCAGCCAGAGAGAGAGATCTTTCAATTTCATTACATCTTCTCATTCAAAGTGCTTGTTAGTAAAATTAGATATTCATTCCAGGTGTGAACTAATAAACAAGCCCTGAAGAACCATAAGGACAGCATTATGCACTGATTACCACAGCCCTCTATTTTTGACCTTTCAAAGGTGAACATTTTGGGGCAATCAGGCAGCCTAATTTGGGCTTGGCCCTCTCAATCATGTGACAAAGCACATGTTTAAGGCAGATCTGCTTGATGGGAAGGGGTATTTAAGAATGGCTTATGCTCAACTGTTGCCAGCAGGTTGTTTTTGAGGCTGGAGTGAGTGCTCTGAAGAAATAAAAGCTCATCTGGTTCAGGGACAAACAGAAATAAGATCTCTAAATTTTACAGTATAGGGTCTCTTGAATGAGATCTATATTAAAGGCTGCATCTAGAAAATGAAGAGCTTTTAGCCATGTCTACTAAGGTAAGTACTATTTTAGTGTAAGAATTCTACAAAGGTGTTTTTATAAAGTCTTATTCACGTGAAAGGAAGAAACAAATTCCTATACTTTCACTACTGGGCCCAGAGTGACAAAGCACCTAAATGTTTTATTGTCTGAATGAAGATGCAGTGGCTGGAAATCCTGTGGAACAGCTAAGGTAAACCATGGCTTGTCCTCTCTGTATTTCATCCTATGTTGCTTTAAGTAGAAAGGTTACTTATAAACTTTCTGAATTAGTGATCAATTGCTCACCTTGAATTTCTCACATGCTCATGTAAAAACATTTATGAAAAGTTCTGCTATTCTGTTGAGTGTATTTAGTTTCATATAATTCTGTAGATCAGTTACCACAGCTTCACAGATCACCAAGAGTCTCTGTACCAATATACTCATGTAAAGGCTTAAACAAATGTATTATGTTTACTTGTGGATTTTGAGTTCTGGGTGTGGTGGGTCTCTAACACATTAACCATATACTAACTGAAAAAAAGGAACAGGTTAAAAAGCTTACCTCAGGGATACTTCTTGTAACTGACATGGGATTAACTACAAAGGAACTGTCAGATTTTGGAACAGCAGCATCTTGTATGTTTGGTCTGTTAAGTGATTTTAGTCTCTCTTCCAAATTATCTCCCATTTCTTCATTTTCAGCAACAACAGGTAGCACAGGAGCTGGCTCTTCCAGAGATGGATATGTAAAATCCACTGCAGGAGGGGGGACAGGAGGGAACCATAAGAGAATTCTCAAAACAAAAGCAAAATAAACTCCCCATTCCAATTCAAAATTTAGCTTTTAGCCATAACAAGACTTTGCTAAAAACACCTGAATGAATGAAAGACTCATCCAGTAAGTACAAATGCTTGCTGGAGTGTTATCATTTGTACTTACAAGAAACAGTCACTGCTTCAGTCCTGCCATGCTGGGGTGGAGTTACTCTAGCATTTGTTGTGTACTGGGGAAAACAAAGGAGCCAGTTTTCATAACCTCCCTCTAGAATTAAAGGTTCATTCTGCAGGATGGTTTTGCTTTCCCACTGCATGGAAAAAAAGTTTAAAGTTAATTGATTTAAAAATAGAAAGAAAACTTTTACAGCTTAATAGTGTTGTTTAAATTCCTGTGCCTAGACATTGAGAGATTGTTTTTTGAGATTTTTAAACAAGAATTAGTGGTTGCAAAAACAGGGATCCTCTCTGTGTTTGGAGAATGCCCAGCACAGCTGGTTCCTGGCTTTGCCTACAACAGGGTGTGAATATTTCCAGTAGAGAAAGAACCACTTACTGCTACTTCACATAACAATCTTCCATGCAGAAAAGTATTTTTATTACAGTATTTGCTTCAGTTTCTTATCTGGTATGTTTGCTGAGGGATTAGTGATTTAGAAAGCATAACACTGACTTTCTGAAACCCCTTGAGAGTTCAGGGTTCAGACTGCCCTCCTCCTGCTGTCCTCAGTACTTGTTCAGTACTAGTACAGGAACAAGACAGTCTAGAGAACAGTCTCTAAAGCAATTAAGAAGGAGAATTGCTGAACTATCTCTGAACCCCAGTCCTGAATGTCAAGGTAACAGAAAGATTTGCAGTCTTTCACAAGAGCCACCACTGTACAGAGGAGGGACAACACAGCCACAGAGAATTTGACTTGAATGTTGGGCGTCTGCTCACTGTGGAGTCTATAAGCTTCCTGCACTGATGAAACTCAAATTTAAATTAATGTTTATCTAACAGTTATATCCAGAAATGCAGAAAAGTTAACTGTGCTGAAAATATTTCTGGAGCCTGCTTCATTGCAGCCCCTCCACTGTGGGAAGTACCTGGCTGGTAGGACTGCAAAGTAGGTGGCCAACCAGTTTCCAGGGATAAAGAATTACTGTTGCTAATTTGGGAGAGAAGGTGACTGTTCCTGGGAAACAGGACTAAAAGTATTTTCCCAAAGAACTGTAAGTTCATGAGCTGCTTGTTGAGCAAGTGAGTTGAATCATTCTGCTGTTTACCTGTTTAATAAATTATACTGTCATCTACTAGAGTACAGTATGAAACTTCAAACTACAGTTCTGCCATCAAAACAAGCAAGCTTTGAAAACTCAAGCAAGTGTCATTAAATATAAGTGCTTCAAGGCCTTATTTACTAAGATGAATTAATTAATAAATTAAAAGATGAAATTTGCCAACCTTAAAAAGTGCATCTTTCAGGCTCTGTAGAGTTGTTCCCAGCTTTAAGTCTTCAGCAGAACTAAACCAGTCTAGCAGTATAACATAATGGAACTGTCCTCTCCTCTTCCATGCATCCCTAGACTCCTCTGGGAGTCTAGCTTCAATCAGGTAAGCAGTATCTCTGAAATGTATTAACATGCATTTAAAGATTCATGTACAAGTAACATTCTGTCCAACAATATATAATCTATAGATGTTTATGTGCTTGGATAAAATAAATATACATTATGTTGAAGTCAGTACATGCAAGAACAGAGCTGTGCAGATACACCTCACCCACTGGTATACAGCAGGGATTCTGACACTAGGTGTACAAGTTTAAAAGCATGTACTTTTTTAGAAAATTAAATATTTCACTCTCATTTAACATCGTATCTTTCACTCTCATTTAACATCGTACCCAGGATGGATAGCTTCTTCTGGGACACTGATGGATTTTGGAATACAGGATTCCTGATAATCCTTTGATTTTCGAGCATCCATTATAAGCAATTCAATATTTTTGTCTGACATCATTGCAAACAGTCTCTCAGGTGTGACTGCTCCTTGAAAGAGAAAAACAATTACATGTAAGAAGCCACATTATAAATGAAGATAGCTATGAAGGGCTATGGTATCTGACTGGTGCAATCAAGACTGCAAACAGATGAAACAGAACTAAGAAGTCCCACAAAGTCATGGAGGTGAGACATTACAGCATGGGCCTTTTACTCCCACTGCTGTACTGATCAGCACCTGATCTGTTAGATCAGACAACACTGAATATTTAGTGATAAACAAGTTTAATGTACTGTGGTCTCATTTAAATCAAGCTACATGGGCAAGCATTTGTGAACTATATGCTGCAGATATTCCTCTTAAGAACTCCAGAGAACATTTTCATATACTCATTACAAGAACAAAAAGCAGAAGGTTGTAAGGAGAATGGAAAAATTTTGTATTTAACTGAGTAAGATGTCATATTTCATCCTTGCCTATCAGCAGTAGAGCTGTTTTTCTTTCTAACCTGACCAATTCAGGACTAGTTCATCTTCCATTACTGAACAGTTGAAAAACTAACTACAGATCTCTGAGTTTATGAGAAGTAATGAAGGCTTTAATACAAAGTTTAACGAATTACTGATTTGTTATAACTGAAATGCAGGATACTAGAATTTAATCAAAATATTTTAACTGTGAAATAATTCCTGAGAAGGACTGCAGCTGTGAGGTGGTTAGTGCACAGTCATACAGAAATCTTTTTCACATTTGTGCAAGCACTGCATCTCTTACCACTCAGGCTATCAGACTGATCTTTTCTTTCCAGTGAATGCTTTGTCTCACCATTAATCTGTATAAGGGGAAAAAAAAATTAGCATGTAATACTGAGAACTGAGGTGGCCAACAGACAATGACTCTCACAGAGCCTGAAGGAAACTTGTCAGACAGTTAAGCCACAGGAACAAACACAGCACAAAGGAGCTGCATCTGAAGATGTGCTCACAAATTATACTCAAAAGATACTGAGGTTGCTGCCCTGCCTAGACAGAAAACAGCTACAAAGGTAACACAACCTAGGACACCATCATCTAACAGAAGAAATTCTTTAAGTATTTGTTGAGAATTAAGTGTTAATTGTTTCCACACTACTGCTAAAAAGTCAACCTTCCCCTAAAATGGAGACATGTTATCCTTAGTATCAGTTTGTCAACATTACCTTGGATTTCTTGGGCTAATTCTGGCATAAAACAGAATTTGACTTAGTCATGAAGCTCAGTCTATCTTAAACCAGACTTGGAGGCTGCAAGGACTTCACATATTCCAAAGAAATGTCAAAGAAGGGTTATGGAGAGTGTACATTACTTCAAAAAACACCACCTTGATTCTGAACTGGAAATAGCTACTAGCAGAGACCAAATTCTAGATTGAAACTATACATTCAGATTGAATTAGAGTTTGTAAACATATTCACTTACCCTTTGGCTTTTTCCTTTGGAATCCACAGCACTTTCTGAGGAGTTTTTGGCTGAGCTCTTTCCATCATCTTTTGGTTCTTGCTTTTTCTGCAGCTCTTGTCTGTCCCTCTCTTCAAGTTTTTTCCGAACTTCAGCTTCCTCGTATCTATTGGGGGGAAAAAAGTGCCTTTTTTTCAGTGTTGGCTAACCTTGGATTATTAATATCAAAATCACTAAGTCTTCAGTCAAAAACCTTAAAAGAAGGATTTAGAACTTTAAAAAGTTAAAGTATTGCCTGTTTTTGTATTCCAACGAACTCCATATAGCTTCCTAACTATGTAGTCTTATTTCTCCAACTTTTGGGTTGGTTTTCTTATTGCTAAATCTTGGTTTGAGTCCTATTACATAGCCACTGATTGTAAAACTATTTTTTCTTCAAACCTGGTGTCATGCTTAGCTATGGTGTCTCTGAATGTTTTTCACTTTCCACGGACAACTGTATGTACTGGCAACTTACAGGTAAACTCCAATATATCACAACAGTCATCCCAGGTATTTTATTTCATTTTGCAATTGAGACAGTGAAGAGTAATTTAGCTCAGATATCTAAATATGCTTTTTCTGGAAGTTGGATCAGAACTACTTGTACAGTAATCACCTTCAGAATGTAAGCTGACTCCATGATGTGCTCACCGGTGTGCCTGGTGCTTGTTTCAAACACTGCGCCTACAGGGAAGCCCATGCAAGAACTGTGTTCACTCAGGAGTTTTGGGGGATGAGGTCATGCATACAACTGTCCTTTTCATAAAGCCTCAGATTTGAAAATTACCCTCCCAACCTTTCACCACTGGAAGGACAATCATGGTATTGTAAGGCAGTGATCTCCAAACTACAGTTTTCAGATCACCCACTAGAGGTTTGTACAGTGACATCATTGTTCAACAGTACTCACTTATATTTAACATAACTGAGTAGTTTAAGGGTTACTAGTATCATAGAACAAAAAGAGAATGTTTGACCTAACAATTTGGATCTGAAGCAAGAAGTAAAACATGAGCTCAGAACTGTGTTAGTAAGCGCTCATTTTAACCACATGTTGTATAATGAGGGTTAAAATAACAATGACAATACAGCTGTATGTTAATAACCTAGATCATTCAAATTCCACCTCCAAGTCTACTGCACTAATTGCCCACTAAGAGGAAGGAGGCAGCAAGTCTGTAATTTTATTTTTAAACAGGCTTCTTGATTTGGCACAGGCATTATAAGTTAAACCAAGTATTTTGTTCCCACTTGGAATTAATGACATTAAAGCATATTTCAGATTTTAGTTTAATTTGGTCAGTATGAAATATTTACCCATCAATTTCCTATTTATACCTCTGAAGCACGTAGTAGGTCATTCATGCAAGCATTCCTGCCCCTATACAAGTTTCATCACCTCTACTTTTAGTTAATTGTTAACATTCAAACTATTTGCTGGCCTACTGCCTGGGGAAGAAATTATACAAATAATTTGCTTGAAACTACTTCTGTAGTTACACAGGAGTCATGTTTCATTTCTGTTACCTTTAAATATTTACACATTTTGCCAGAGTAGTTGAAAGTTACTGCATCAACTCCAAAACTCTGCTCCTTTTATAAAAAGACATAAGTTACTTAAACAACAAGTCTCTATGTTTTGGGTTTCTCCGATTCTATCAATGCTTAGAGTGAATTTGTAGCTTTTAAAATGTGTTTTTAATTGTGTTTAATTGTAAGACTCATCTAAACAAAGAAAATATCAAGATTGTTTCATACACAGTGTCATGAGATCTTTGTGAAGTCAGTCTTCACATACATGTAACTACACTCACAGTTCACCTGAACTAACTTTATAGATTTAGCACTTTGGAAGTATAAAATACACTTTCACAAGAATACTTGGGAGGAGGGGCTGGGACAAGACACTTGTGAAAGGAAATGTGCCCAGCTGCAGAGAGAAAGAGTTAAAAGAGTGAGAACGTTGCTAAGGATGCAAGAAAGAGAGAAGGCTGGAAATAAGAACTACTGTGCTAAATATCACCTAAAGATAGACCCTACCTTACAACTTCTTACTAACACAATTTCATGGCTTATGGCACAAAGATGTAACTTGTCAGCTGATAATCAGGTACCCAAAAGGCCCTTAGGATCTGCTCATTTACATACTGGCAGAACTCTGCATTCCACACACACATCTGCAAGTGGCTAAAGAATCAAAACCTGGCATTTCTTAGTGGAAACTACATCCAGACTAGGAGGACTTTTTAGCATATCTGATTATTTAGGAATGTTTATTAATGTATTATGTTAAAAGGTTGAGGAAGAAATTACTCTTGATCATCTCTCCTGTGTATGTACTTCAGACCTTGTGGTTTCTTTTTGTTAGTCAACTAACAAAACCAGGAGACACTGTCAACAAACCAAGGAATTAGCAGACAGTGTACAAAATGGCAAGTTATTGGAGTGTGTGGTAGTGAAAATTATCTCTAGTAAAAGACTTCTGGGAATAAATTTAAGCTCCCAAGAGTTTCAGGTACCTATGGTTTACTCAAATGCAATTGCTTACTACTAAATAGCTTGAAAATCTGCACTTGGCACAGATACAGGCTCAAGGTAAAAGGAATAATGTCTTAGCTATCAACTATATTACATACCTGAGTTTAAGGCTGTCTGACAGTATTTCAGCTTCATCAAGAGCTTTTTTTAAATTTGTAGGTCCCAGAATTGAATGAAAATAATCCTAAAATGACAAGCATCACATAATATAAATATGCAGTTTAACAATGCTTACTTCTATGCATGTCAAGAGTCACTAATGTATGGAGAGCTGATATTATAATATTAATGCTAAAAAAAGAACTAGTTTGAATCAAAACAGTTTCCATTCAAATATGAGTTTGTAAGAAAGACTAAAGTCTAAGACTTACTAAAGTCTTACTTGTCTAGTCTAAAGACTAGACAAGGCAACTTCACCAAAGAAGTCTGACTGATAAAAATTATGGGAATACCTTTCCATGAAAAAATATTCACAGATCTGACAATTTGTATAGTTCATACATAAAAAAGAAAACTGTAAAAAAAATTAACACCAGACTTCTCAAAATCAAGAAAGAAAAAAACAGCACCGTGAGACAGTTTACTTAATATCAGTGTGATCCTTTGAATGTGTATTAGTGTAATTCTCTGTACTTCTCATACTTTGACCAATGCAGAAGAGATCAGCCAGAAAGGTTTTGTACCTGCTGCTGCTTAAAATCAGGTCTCTTTCTAATAAGGTTATAAACAGCCACATATTTCATGTATAGGATGTAAGCTTTTTCTTCATCTCCATCCAGTCTGCTTTCCTCTGCTGCCTTGAAAATCTTAAGGGCACTCTGCACATAACTGAAACCAAAGAAGAGGAGTAAAGCACATAATTGTTGACTTGTCCTCAAACACCTTTTCATTACAAGATGCCATTTTAAGTGTTTACAGATTTCACCCATATATTAAGCATTTGCTTTTACCACCTTAATATAAAGCTTTCATTAAATATGAATTGCAGTCATGTTCCTCCAAATAATGTTTATCTTTGCCAATTTGTTTACCAGCCTTATTTAAAGTCTTCCATAATTAAATACCATAGTGAGATATGGAAAAAGGTACTCTTCCCTTCTAAGAATAACTTTCTTTCTAGGACAAATTAAGTTATAGTAAGACAAAATTAAATCACTGATTGTCTAAAAATGCTAGAGGGAGGCAAAGCATTCAGACAATTGCTAAAGGTTTTGTCATTTTTACAGGTTTGCATTTATGTAGCCTTTCCTCTAAGTATGTGGGTTTTCATGGGCATTGTGCTCTGTCCAAGTCATGTTTTGGCAGTATGCCAAGTGACTTCTGAAGGCAGTAAGCACATCCAATGTGACAGTTGAGAGCCATATATAAGACTATGGAAGATTTTGTATCTAGCAGAAATAACAAAGGAAATTTAGATCCACAACAAATTTGTTCTGGAACCACAAATATTTTAAGTGCTAATTCAAAATCAATTATAACATATGTACCTTTTTGTACTGGTCTTTTCAGGTTTTACTTCTGTCTTCTTGTTGAGATCTTTCAATGAAGTAGAGAGGTAGAGCTCCTTAGGTACAGATGCCACAGCAGGCATGTTAATATTGTTACTTATGTCCCTTCTAGGATGTTACAGCTTCTTAGAAGTCTCTACCAGTATTTTTCTGGAGGAGCAAAAAAGGTAGGAAGAGCCAAATTATATTCCAATTCCTTTTAGTACAGTAGTTATAGTTACCTGTGTAGGCTTATTACCTAATTTATCTCACCTTATGTGAGCTAGCAGAGTGTCTGAACAATTAATAGTATAAATTAATATTTCAAAGTGACAGAATTATTTGAAATCACTTCATGTAATTGATCAAAAATGTTCAGCAATATCCGTGCTAACAGGAAAATTTAAAAAAAAATGCTGACTCATGAATGTTCAAAATCATCATATCCAGCAAATTTATTCCACTGAAATGCCAGCAAGTATACTATCAAAAAATAGCTGACTCCTCTGTACTCTGCAAATACACATTACTCCCCCTGAAAAATGACTTCTGAAGTCTTGCTAAGAGATAAGCTGAGAACAGGGAGGCTGCTACCATTAAAGTCTACTGAAACATCTTGGACATTCTGTAGGTCTTCAACCCCTTGGTGCCATTGACTCTGTGCTTTCATTAGGAAGTGGTTTCCAGGCAGCCATGAAATAGTTAAGCAGAATTTGGTCACAAGGGACTGTTACATCATGTTATCTGAGACAGGGAAGTCCAGGAAGTCTCCTGCAGTCTAACCAAAACTCTTGGCATCTAGTACACAGTGAGCTATTTTATTGTAGCCTTGGGGGTGGCAGGGGAGGAACTGAGCTCCCTCGGAAGAGGGGAGACATTCAGATGTGAGCAATACTGAAGGAATGAAGGGAGACTCAGTAGAAGACAGACACTCAAATGGTATCTCAAAGCCTTTAGAGGCTTTTGAGAAGATGAAGGCAGAGCATTTCTCTTGCACTCTCAATGTGATCAGCATCAAGTGTGACCAAAAAAACCAGACAGTGACCTCAGAGGGAAGCTTCACCTGACCAAATTGATCATTAGCCACTCAATGAGGTAGTCCCAATTTCCCTCCCTCTTTCTCATGCTGGTCTGGTACTTCTCCAATCTGTTCTTGGGCCAATTCATCCTGCTGAAGAAGCAGAAAGGCGACACAGCTTGTGCAAGGGCAGCAGCTGGCATGTGCAGTCAAGAATGAGAGGCTAAGGTGGGAATGGGATCCTCCCCAAGGCTCAGAGCTGCTGTACTCCCTGAAGTATTGCTGCACAGAGTATTGCCAAGCTCACTCTTGTTGGGCTGGGAACTGGTTATCAGACAAAACACTGAGTTCACACAAGCCTTTGGTCTAAGGTCTGGTATGCCAAGGTCAGAATAAACAATATCCAGCAAAATAACTTACTGCTTCAACACAGATGCTGTACTTGCTATTTTCCTTGATAACTAGGTATCAGATTTTTAAAACTGAAAATTTTGTTAAAAACCCTCTCTTAGACTAATTTCCAGATAATTCTATAACATAAGTACTGAAGTCCTCAAATACTATCTTTAATACATACAATTAAAAACATATCCCATACCTAACTCATCTTAAAACCTTGTCTTTTGTATATGATGTGTCATTCATCCAATTGTAACTTTCAGGGGGATACTAAGGAGCTGAAAACAAGGCAGATAATTCATTAGAACTGCATGCAGTAGAAACAAAACACAGACATTCCCTGCCCCAAAGACCTTTCCAGTACAAAAGCCTTTTAGCCTAAAACAAAGACATACTTTTTGCAACCTCATAAAGAGAGGCTCACTCTTATGAAGATTTTTAGTACTGCTTCTCTCATTCTACCTTCAGAGCATGTCTTTACCTGGCTTTTTTTTTTTCACCGTGGAACTGTAAATAGACTTTTCCTTTGAAGCTTTTAAGTCCTTTCCAAATATATCTTCAATGTTTGCTGGGTTATGTAACCAGTATTTTCTTAATCTTAAGTGGCAGCATTTGGTTGTGTTCTGACAGAATATTGTAACTAAATACGCAGTCTGAATAAGATATGCACATAGCATTAGGGTGCTGTGTGCATATGAGCAAAAAAAGCTCAAGATTATGTGGAAGATGAACCATTTAATGATGTCAGTAAATTCTCAAGTGTTGCTGACACACCTTGAAAAGGGCAGATCTTCTGGAACATCATCTATACAAATGCAGAACTAGTAAGTAAAAGCCACCTCTGAGCTTTGGCCTGAAACAAAAATTGTCTTTCCACGTTTTTCTGTGGTCACTAAGTTACAACTGCAGGTCTTTAAACTGCCATGCAAGTTCACTGCTGAACTTTTATTTTCTGATTATAAGAAATTTCGATACCTTTTTTAAAACATGAGCTTCTAACCACAGTAGCTGATGAATGAGGTATTACCCTTTGACCTCCCACAGCATCACAATTCATACAATATGCTGCAGTGAAATGAGAAAGAATGGATAAGGAATAGCATTTTCTAAACTTTTTAAAAAATCAAATTCACAACCACATACTTAATTGAAATACACACAGCACATGTGATAAGTTGATATGAGATTTCAGTTGCAGTTTCTAAAACATTTTTCTATGCAGAATTTTAATTTTGGATCTGTAACTAACATTTTCAGGTTTATGCATCACAAATGCCCCAAGTGGATTTTAGTTACTACAGACTGACCATTGCTGACTGCTCAGTCTTAGCTTGTAAGGACCCTTAAAATTTCTTAAGCTTCTACTAAGAAAGATGTTTTAAGATGTTCATTACCTTAATTTTCCTCATACTCAAATGAACATGGTTTATTTCCTTAATTTTTGAGCAAGCTTTGGAAGACTACAATTTCAGAGTCCAAATCAGCTCCTTCATTGATAAATATTGCCATCTGTTTTGGAACACAATTTTTTTGCAGGTATCAGATTCCTAACTGGCCTAGTCTCAGTGGAGGAATCCAGCAAAATCCAGTTGCACAAATGCAGTTTGGAACTAGTCAGCATCAAAGAAAACTGGATCATAAAACCATGAATAGAAGGGACTGAAAAAGTTGTAATAGCTAAATCCACTATTAGTCGACCCTATGAGGAAGAAGCAACAACCTATTTCAGGTTTGTCAACTTTTATCTTAAAAATTAAGATCAAACTCAAAACCTGAGATCTTTTCTACCCCCAGCTGAAGTATTATCTCTGGCTCCTTTTTCATGCCTATGAGTGCTGAAAACAAGGCAAATATCCCAAAATATAAGTGAAGTCATGCCTGTATGATTATAGGCATTTGACATACTTAGAATGGATAGTTTTACCCTGACAGAGAAACATACCTGTTGGTAACAGGTTTTTCAACATGTAATTATCATGCCAGTTTTACTAAGGATATGAGTAAGCTTTAAGTGGAATGACTACAGAAAGAACAATGCACTGAAGCAGTTACACTGCAAGCAGTGCACACACTAACACATTGAGAAACAGACACAAGTAATGTGCATCACCAATTCAGGTATGTAATAAAGTATTATTCACTTATTTTTCTCTCTAGCACTTGAGCAAGTGAGAAATGGATTTCTCATGAGCATTAAGTTGCTAAATCTTCTCAGAATTAAGCTAAACTGTCTGCACTTAGTACACAAGAGTTGGTTTTCTTTAAGATTATCAATTTGAGTGTAGAGACTGAGAATTTTTCAATGACTGAACTACACAATCAAGCACATTGACTTCTGGGAGTCCTCTAGCTCTCTTCCAGATATTGTTAATACTACAGGCCTTGGTCCTGTAACCTAATGTGCATAGGATGATTATAACCATTGGGGCTTCTTATGGCAAGTTCATTATGCTCACAGAGAGTACCCAAACTTTCACTGTTCTGGTTCCAGGGCAGTAACACATCACGGGTCTCTCTGGGCCATGTACCCTGCTGGAACCCGCACCAGCCCGCACTGCCAAGCCTCGCAGGGACTCTGTCCACGCAGTGAGAAAACGCTTTGACAGACAACCATCCCACGCTATAAAGTTTCTTAAATACACTGCATTTTCTGCAGGAAGTTTGAAAGTTATTCTAAGTAAAACCACAAATAGTTCCACTTGTTATTTAGATAAATGAACATTTGCAAGGCGTAGGCAAACAGCAGAGGTGATAAGAAGCCGGGGAAGTGACAGAGAGGCAGAAAACTCCTTCAAGTTTCCTAGCGGGCGGTCAATAGCGCTGCGGCGGCCCGGCCGGGCTGTGGCGATCTCCATGACACCGCAGCTCGCCGGCCGCAGGAGTGCGGCACTCTGGGAAGCGCCGCTTCCCTGCCATCTTCCTCCGGCCGCTCTCGGGCTCGGCGCGGCTCCGCCGGCCCCGCTCGCTCCTCACTCAGCCGGGTAAGGCTGGGAGGCTGCGGGCTGCCCAAGGTCACAGCGCCGGCTCCCCGCCGGGCCAGGCCTGATCCTCCCCGCGCGGCCCAGACCGGCTCCCTGCCCTCCGCAGCCCCTCGAGGGCCGCTCCCCCCGCACGGCGGGGCTGGGCCCGGGGCTCCCTCCAAGGGCGCCCGCCCCTCCCGTTACTGCTGGAGTCCCCCTGCCCGCAGGCCTCGCTCCCCGCCGGCCCAGAGCCGCCCCGGCCCCGCACTCACCGCCGCGGGGACTCGCTGCCTCCGCCCGCCGGCCCGGGGCAGGCCCATGTCCGAGCGCGGCTGCCGAGGAGACGCTACGCGGCCATGGCTGCTAGGGCGGAACTCGGCGGCGTCCCTCCCTCCCCGCTTCCCTCCCTCCTGCCGGCCTCCGCTCCCCACGGGGGCGGGGACTGTCACGGCCCAATCCGTGCCGCGGGGCCGGCTCGGGCCGTGCGGCTGCGGGCCGGCCCCGCCGCTGTCCTGCGGGCCCTGCGGGGGCAGCAGCGCCGGGGCGGCCGGGGGACGCAGACCCACACGCCGAGGAGCCGCCGAGGAGCTGGGGTGGCTCCGGGGCGGTGTGAGAGGAGGGAGATGCAGTGACCTCGCCCAGCAGCGCGGCCGGCCCTGGAGAGCGTTCCGGGTTACCTGCCGTTACCCGCCGGCCTCCACGGGCTGCTGCCCGCCGGAGCTCGCTCCTCGTCTCGGGAGCGGGACATTTGTCACTGTGGCCAGGGCACTAAGCGGGCTCTGGGGGCTGTCACAGTGTGTAGGACATGCCAGCGTTTGTATGGGGTGTTAAACTGTCACTGCACTGTGTAATCTGGTGTAGGAATGCGAGACACCTCGCTTTATAAAAATATCCTAGTTTTAGTTTAGAGAAAACTGGGTTGCTAGGGGACACTCCAAGTTTTCTGCTGATGGCAGTGTTTCCTGTGCACCTTGTGTTACTACAAGCATCGTATCTCAGGGATGGCAGGTATGTGTGGACGTGCTGGTACAGTCGTGCTGGGAAAAGGGGAGAGGCTGGTCCTGCCGTGGAGATCTTGCACAAATGGAGATGCTCTATGCTGCCACAATCCTGACCTGTCCCCTAACTGTGTTGGAGGGTGAGGGGATTCAACAGCTACATTTCAACCTGGGACTCAGTTTTGCCAATGGAAGTGTCTTGTGAGCTGGAGCAGTTTCCATCAGTGACTTTAGAAAACAGGGAGGTCTTGGAGCCTAAACAGGGAAGTTTAGAAAACATGGAGATGCCTGTCTCCATGTTCCAAAATACTTCTGATCCCTTGCCCAGGAAGTTGAATTATATCACAGCCCCTAGCACAGCAACGTTGGTTGGTACTGGCCACATGAAAGGTGCAGAAAATTTATCTTTGCAGGGTGTGTGAGTGATCAGGCATGTGAAAGGTTCTGGGAGCAATGAGAACAGTGATATGTCTCCTTTATTGTGCAGAAAGGTGAATACCAAAGTAAGTCAATAGATTCCAATAGCTCTAAGCTGAACTGAGTATCAATAACACCATGCTCTTGTAAGTGCCTTTTTCAGACCTGCTCTATGTGTTTTAGCCAGGGTGGGTGATGCCAAAAAGTTATGACAAGATGGAAGGAGTGAGTCCACTGATGCCAGAGCTTGGGATGTGTACAAATTCATGTTGACTCTCATACTCACTGCTGTCCAAATTGGACTTAGAGAACCCTTTTATTGTTTCTCTTATATGAAAAAATTCCATGATACAGTCTTTGGTTTTACTTGTATGGGCACACCCCAGCCATATATAGAAAAGTGTTTGGGGAGGAGCTGCCTATGCAATTAGCTTTACCCCACTCCAGAGCTTGTTAAAACATGCTAATAATGTTGATTAAGTTATAACATGCTGTGGTTGCCTCAGGTTAGAACACATTTCCCTATCAGCACGTATGTTCTTGTGCAGCAGTATTAAATAAATAAAGAAATTAATTTTAGTAGAAATTGGTGTGCTTTTTAGTAGAAATTGGTGTGCTTTTTAGTAGAAATTGGTGTGCTTTTTAGTAGAATGTATTAGATTTTTAGCTAAAAAAACATTTACATTTTCTAAAGCAGGGTAAAATAGAAACCATGCTTTACAGATTTGAAAGATGTTCTGACTGCCTACATCAGACATCCAATGTCTCTCTCTTACAATGGAGTTTTGGTGAATGCCTTAAAAACCTCGACATGATTATTTTGGGATCATAATAATGAACTGATACACAGTGCTAATGGACTAAATGCAGACTGCATTGTTCACCTCCATGAGAGATTGTCATTAATATGGGAAAGCCTGGCTTTTCTGTAGCACTGCTGCTAACACCACAGTCTTCCCGTTTTGTTGGCACACGCCTGTGAGGACATTGTAACATTTTCTGTGTCTACTGCTACTGCGTAAATGAAAGCCATGACACCAAAGCCAACATGACACCCTAAATCCTTGTTGAGAGACACAGACACTTGTCAGAATGAAAGAGAAGGGTGCTGAAGGTTGGATTCAAGGGTTCCATGCCCTGGGTGATCAGTGGCAGCCCCGAGGTGCTTGGATTTGTTCTCTAGTGCCGCCTTCTGGCTGAGCACGCCCAGAAAAACCAGTCCACAGGTGACAGGAAGAAATGGTTACTGCTTGGAATAATGTTATTTGTATTTTGTACAAAGCTGCATTAGGTAGGTCAAAGGCAAATAATAATGGCTCTGTAAACAGCATTATAACAGGTATTCCTCTAATTATCTCGTGGGTATTATAATCTCCAAAATAACAGGCTGGAATTTTGTCATTGGTATGTTTTCCTGAAGGATGACGATTCTGAGATCCATGCTTCACAGTAGCAGATGTATGACTTGGAACAGCTTTGGGGAGAATGTGAGCACAACCATTGTGCATTGTTGAAGCAAAACTGGGAGAGAAATGTTTCGGGGCCTGAGCTGTCAGGTTCAGTATGAGCCTGGGACTGAGGGCCAGAGCCCTCTGAGAGAGCAGCAACAACCGAAGGCTATTTTGGAGCTGTCATCCTATCAAGTCCTATTTCTATGACCCCTAAGTGGAGCTTCCTCTGTATTTGCAACTGGTGAGGCCACACCTTCAATACTGAATCTAGTTCTTAGACCCTTAATTTAAGGACATTTTGGGGCTGTAAGCAGGTCCAGAGAAAGGCAATGAAGCTGGTAAGGGACCTGGAACACAAATTCTGTGAGGAGTAGCTGAGGGAGTGGGGGTTCGGTCTGGAGGAGGCTCAAGCGTGACTTTATGCTCTCTACAACTCCCAGATCAGAGGCTGTGGCCATGTGGAGGGAGTTGGTCTCTCTCAGGTAACCATTGCAAGAACAGGAGGATAGAGCTTGGAGTTCCACCAGGGAAGGTTTAGGTTGGACATTAGGAATTTCTCCACAGACAGGGTGATTAGACATTGGAATGGGGATGTGATGGAGTCACCGTCCCTGGGGGTGTTGGAAGGTAAGACCGGACCTGGCACTCAGTGCCGTGGCTTTAAGCTGACATAGTGGTGTTGGGTCACACGTTGGACTCATGATCTCTGAGGCCTTCTCCAACCGATTTGACTCCGTGATTATCTCCACAGCTCTGCCTCACACAGGCAAAGCAGGCAAGTGCATACTCAGAGATTGTACCCTCGCCTGGGAGCACAAGCAGAGCTCCAGTAGCCACGAGGCGGGAAACGCAAGCTCCACCATCCTGTGCCACAGAGTAACCCGGGACAGCGACCCCTGCCCTTATTCCATAAGCTGCCTCTAGGGAGGCC